GCCGAAGGGTTTGGGGTTTGGGGTTGGAGATTGGGGAGCCAGACCGCGTGGCCGTCGTAGCCGAAGAGGACCGCGAGGCGAAGAGGAGGTTGTGGTCGTCGTGGCTTTGGGGTTTGGGGTTTGGGGTTCAAGGTGACGGGAGAGGAGAGAGAGATTGGGGATTTTGAGATTGGGGGTTTGGGGTTGAAGGTGACGGGTTGGGTGGGTTTGTTGCTCACCAGTGAAAAGAAAAAATATATTGAGTGAAACTCTATAGTTGAGTTGAATTGAACGTTGAGATGTTGATTGAAAAAAATTTTATCCGTTGAGTTGAATTGAACCGTTAAAAAATGAACGTTGAGTGAAAATTTTTTATCCGTTGAGTTGAAAACACTGGCATGAACAGTAAAAACTCATCTATAAATTCTCAATTCACTCCACAAAGATTTCCACACAACTCTCAATTCTCAATTCTCTCATAAAAAAACTCTATAGTTTCCTATCAAATTACAAATCTCATGGATCCCCCCCAAAACTTTTATTCACAACTCCTTACCGGTGAAAGATCGACCTTATACCCGTCGTTCTATACAGAAGGCGTAGAAGAAGGTCACCCCATTGAGTTCTCGCAATCGGCAACACAACAAGTGCCATCCCAAGAAACACCGACCACAAAGAAGAAGAAGGCTTACACGCGGTCCGAAAATTGGACTGTCCACGAGGATAAGCTTCTTGTGTCTGCTTGGCTGAACACGAGCCAAGACGCCATCCAAGGTACGGGGCAACACAAAGATAAGTTTTGGCACCGAGCTAACGACTATTTTATCCTATACTCCACCGATCCAACGAGCCGCACGCCAAACCAAATGATGCATCGTTGGTCAACGATTCAACTGTCCGTCAACAAGTTCTGCGGGTGCGTTGCTCAGATTGAAGGAAGACAAAGATCTGGTACGGGAATTATTGACCAGGTAAATATTTAATTATGTTTGATTATTTTTGCTCAGATTCAATATGTTTAATTATGTTTGATTATTCTAAAATTAACTCTTGTGTAGACTGCAGAAGTAAAAGAATTATACCAATCTCTTTATGGTAAACCATTCGTGTTTGACCATTGCTGGGTTGAGTTGCGTCATCATCAAAAGTGGATCCAACAAATGGAATCTTACAATAAGATTCGATCACAGCCGAGAAGAACCACAAACTATGATTCCTCACCAAACAATTCCATGCCAGCGACCCCCATCGAGTTGAACACTGACTCGGATGATGTGTTAGTAAGGCCTGAAGGGAGGAAAGCAGCAAAGCTCAAGAGGAAACAAAATGTGGAAAACTCTGAGTCCGCTAAGTCCATCATTTAGTTCTTCCTAATTATCTTGTATTAGATTTATGATTCTACTTGAAGTTGAAAATTTTGGCATTTAATGAAAACAACTACTTTATTGAAAAGAAAATTGGCGCAGTACATAAAGAAACTTAATCCTCGTCGATGGATCCCTTGAGCTGCCACAGATGCTCGATCAAATCATTCTTTAGTGATTTGTGTGTTTGCGTGTTCCTGATCCGATGATGATTTTGGATGAACTCAGTTAGAGGCACCGTCTGCACATGAGAAGGTTCAACGACTGGTATCGAATCATTAAAGTCGAAGTTGTTGTCCAATTGATAATCTCGTTCATCTTCAACGATCATGTTATGCATTATGATGCAAACTGTCATGATGTCTTTCAGCACACTAGGTTGCCAGAAACGTCCTGGTCCACGAACAATCGCAAATCGAGCTTGCAACACGCCAAAAGCTCGCTCAACATCTTTTCTTGCGCTCTCTTGTTGTTGAGCAAAGTATTTATGCTTGTTTCCTCGCGGTGCTGGAATAGTCTTCACTAATGTGGACCACTCTGGGTAAATCCCGTCGGCGAAATAGTATCCCATATTATACTCGTGGCCATTGACAGTATAGTTGCACGGTGAAGCTCTTCCCTCCGCAAGTTGTGCGAAAACCGGTGAACGATGTAGAACATTAAGGTCATTGTGAGACCCCGGCAGTCCAAAGAAGGCATGCCATATCCAAAGATCTTTGCTAGCTACGGCCTCCAAAATAATTGTAGGTTCATGAAAATGCCCAGTATACATACCTTGCCAGGCGGTTGGACAGTTCTTCCATACCCAGTGCATGCAGTCGATGCTCCCAAGCATACCAGGAAAACCTCGTTGTGAGCCTTCCTCGAGCAGGCGTGCAACGTCTTCATTAGTCGGTGAACGAAGGTATTCCTCCCCAAAGATGTTGATAATCGATCGAACGAACCTCTTCACGCTCTCAAGCGACGTACTTTTACCGATCCGAACGTAGTCGTCAACGGCGTCAGCTGATGCTCCATATGCGAGCATCCGCATAGCTGCAGTAATCTTTTGAAGGCTAGATAGTCCTAACTGTCCAGCACCATTCCTCTTTTGGACGAAGTACTTGTCATGTTCGACGATAGCGTCGTGGATTCGAAGGAATAACGAACGCGCCATTCTGAATCTTCGACGAAAATAATGAAGAGGATATGTTGGTGTGTCAGCAAAATAATCTTGGAACAACCGATTGTGGCCTTCCAGTCGGTATCGATGGAGCACGGTACGTCTTTTGTGTTGAACTGAAGTTGAACCTTTCCCTTGTTCTTCTTCCTCGACGACAGCAGCTCCCATAAGAAAGAACGTCTTCATCATTTCATCATCGCTTGAGTCCGATGAGCTAGACATTTTGTTCTGGGAGACGATTATCTTGAGGTGAGAAGGCATCGAATTTTATAGGAATCAGTCGGTTGACGGTCAAAGTTTGCGATACCTCGAAGTTCGAGCCTAACCTCGAAGACCGCGAGCTACCTCGAAGACCGTGAATTACCTCGAATACCGTGAATTACCTCGAAGACCGTGTGAGTTACCTCGAAGACCGTGTGCGTACCCTCGAAAGCCGCGGGTTACCTCGAAGACCGTGTGCGCTCCCTCGAAGACCGTGTGCGTACCCTCGAAAGCCGCGGGTTACCTCGAAGACCGTGTGCGCTCCCTCGAAGACCGCGAATTACCTCGAAGACCGTGTGCGTTACCTCGAAGACCGTGTGCGTACCCTCGAAAGCCGCGGGTTACCTCGAAGACCGTGTGCGCTCCCTCGAAGACCGTATCCAACGGTTAGAAATAAAATACAAGAGGTTTAAATATAATTAAAAGTAATGGGTAAAATATTAAAATAGAAGAGGGGTTTTTTTGATATTGTTGGAGCTCCTAACTAGGAGCTTGTTGGAACTCCATAAAATAAGTAGATGCTCCCAAGGCCTATTTTTATAATTTTTTATACCAAAATAACTGGGAGCTTGCTGGACTTGCTCTTAGGGAGTGTGTCTTTAGCATTTTCCATTTTAGCTCTCAAGATTAGTCAAACCAAAGTTTCCAAGCTGTAAGAATTCGTACCAGCAAATTCTTTCGGGTTTGAATTTACTTATCGGGTACCTGTACCCGACTGCCTCGCTGCATCCTCGGCGCCTGGCTTTAGTTTTCAATTTAGGGCCTGTTCGTTTGCCTAAAAAAAGAGGGAAATCAAAGAAATGGAAAACTATTAAAATGAAGAATTGTTTTTGGAGTGTTTGGTTGGCTAAAAAAGAAGGAAATCAAATTGAAATGATGTTAGTTGTCACCTTATTATTGGATGATGTTTGTGATTTTTTAAGAAAACTAGTTTTGGAGTGTTCGGTTGGCGAAAAAAAATAAGGAAATGAATTATTAGAAACCTATTTCCTGTAGTTTCTTGTTTTCTTTTGTTCGGTTCATTCTTAAAAATAAGAAATGAAATGAGATGAGATGAGTTGTCATTGTATTATTGGGTGATGTGAAGAAAGATTAAGAAAAGTGTTTTCATAACTTTTTGGGATGAAAATGAAGAAATGAAATGTTAATGAGATGAGGTGAATTGTTATAATATTTTATTGGATGATGTGAGTGATTTGAAATGATGAGAAGAGATGAGTTGAGTGATGTTTGGATGAAAATAATATTTTATTAGATGTGATGGATGAGTTGTTAGATGAAAATAATATTTTATTAGATGTGATGGATGAGTGGTTAGATGAAAATCATATTTTATTAGATGATGTGGATGAGTTGTTGGATGGAAATAATATTTTAGGGCCTGTTCGTTTGTTTTCTAAAAACCAAGAAATGGAAATGGAAATGGTGAAAATCTCAAAACTCACCATTTCCTCCATTTCCATCCCTAAAACTCACCCACAACATCCAATAAAATATTATTTTCATCCAACAACTCATCCACATCATCTAATAAAATATGATTTTCATCTAACCACTCATCCATCACATCTAATAAAATATTATTTTCATCTAACAACTCATCCATCACATCTAATAAAATATTATTTTCATCCAAACATCACTCAACTCATCTCTTCTCATCATTTCAAATCACTCACATCATCCAATAAAATATTATAACAATTCACCTCATCTCATTAACATTTCATTTCTTCATTTTCATCCCAAAAAGTTATGAAAACACTTTTCTTAATCTTTCTTCACATCACCCAATAATACAATGACAACTCATCTCATCTCATTTCATTTCTTATTTTTAAGAATGAACCGAACAAAAGAAAACAAGAAACTACAGGAAATAGGTTTCTTATAATTCATTTCCTTATTTTTTTTGGCCAACCGAACACTCCAAAACTAGTTTTCTTAAAAAATCACAAACATCATCCAATAATAAGGTGACAACTAACATCATTTCAATTTCATTTCTTTGATTTCCTTCTTTTTTAGCCAACCAAACACTCCAAAAACAATTCTTCATTTTAATAGTTTTCCATTTCTTTGATTTCCCTCTTTTTTTTAGGCAAACGAACATGCCCTTATTGGATGTTGTGGGTGAGTTTTAGGGATGGAAATGAAGGAAATGGTGAGTTTTGAGATTTTCACCATTTCCATTTCCATTTCTTGGTTTTTTGAAAACAAACCAACAGGCCCTTAATCCCTAAAACCCCGTTGCCCAAATGGCTTCCAAAACCCTCAATAAAGAGATAAGGGAACACAAAATTTAAAAAAAAATTCTAGGGCTTTCGGAATGGCGCTCTCGACAATGCTCCGCTTCACTACCTCCTCTCTCCTCCGTTCCCGCCTCTCGACCCCCCTCCTCGCCGTCGTCTCAACCCCCAACAGCCTCCGCTTCTACTCGCCAAACCCTAAAAGATCGCTTAAAGTTCGATCATCGAAGCGCAGGAGTAACGAAGAACCAGTCTTGGATAAGGGAGAAGGTGGGGAGAATGGGGGTTTGTTGTTGAAGGAGAAGAGTGGTAGGGTTGGTGATGGGAGAATCGTGCCGGCCGAGCTTCACAAAGAGGCGACGGAGGCGTACATGGCGTACGCGATGTCGGTGCTGCTTGGGCGAGCGCTGCCGGATGTTAGGGACGGGCTGAAGCCGGTTCATAGAAGGATACTGTAAGAAAAATGGGTTCTTTGTTGGAGGAATTAGTGTATCATGATTCTGAATGGGGTTCCCTTGTGAGATATGCACTGTCACTTGCTTAATTTAGTTTTCTAGGTTGTTTTCGTTGGTGCTCTTGTTGGGAAAGTAAAAAATTTGCGATTGAGAATAATACATAAAAATTGGCAAACTTTCTTTTAGGTTGATATTTCTTAGAATTGGTATCCGATATGCTTATTCAGGCAAAATTTGGTGGAAGAACTGCTTGGAGTGTAGAAATTAGTATCGGAGTTTGATGACAAGTGATGTCTGGCTGCCTACTACGACGTCAATTCACTTAGTTTTGTGTTAAAGTTATGTTTGAGACAACAGGGGCTCTGCCACTAGAATCTAGGAGGTACATGTATCGACCTTGTGTTGTTCTGTTTTATTATCTAGGATTTTTACCTAATAATATGCTATGATTCCTATTCATATGTTAGGACCAACTTCACATGCTTAGGAAGTTATGATATTTTATGGGGTTTATCAACTGTTCTGTTTTATATACCTAGGAAATCTTGCATAATCATATATTCTTCGTATAAGCTTTCCCCTATGATTTAGACTTTGGTCGGTTATCAGGTATGCCATGCATGAATTGGGCCTCTCATCTCGAAAGCCACACAAGAAATGTGCTAGGGTTGTAGGAGAGGTATGTGTCGTTACGCTGTTATGTTCTCACCGAAGTTGCAGTAGTTTCATTTAAATTTTTTGTGCTATTGTTAATAATTTTCTGTTTGCTTTTCTTAATAATTAACTCTGCAATCTGCAGGTTTTAGGTAAGTTCCATCCCCATGGAGACAATGCTGTTTACGAATCTTTAGTGAGAATGGCACAGGTATATATGTGAAACCATCTTATCTTGAACTCTACTTTTCTCATTATCACTGTGGATATCTGAAGAATGGAATTGCAATGATTTACAATCACATGTCAACTTAATCACTTCAACCACCTAGTAGATGAATCTTCATATTAGAATCTCGTATGAACCTAAATTCATATATTGTTGAGCATTTTGGAGGCACATAACTGTTGATTTTAATCATAGTTTCTTTTAGTCTTTTTTTGCTATGTAAATGAAGATGGGCTGAGGGTGCAGTGAATTCTGTTACACAAATTCATAGGAATTCATGTCCCTAATCTATGTGAATCCCTAAGTCCTCCTGGAGAGGATAATTCATGATTATGTAGTTTCAGATGTTTCGTATGATGTCTATTTTCATATTCAATAGCGAGCCCCTAAATTCGCAAAGATACAAAGAGAGATAATCTACCACTAGGCACAAATTGGATGGTGAAAAGTGTTAATATTTTAGATCTATTATTTCAAGCATACAATTTCTAATCAAAACATCATATCATGAAGGTAAAATCTTAAACCCCTTATACATCAAGTTTTGTTTGGTTTCAAACATTCTGGACTCTAAACTAAGTAACTGGACTCTAATCCAAGTAACTTGCTATCTACCCAATGGTTTTCTGGATAATTTATGCATGAGGAGGAAAACTTGAATACTTCTAAAATTTGTTTGTGGCACTCCGGAGCATTTACATAACATCAAGAGAGGGGTTTTTGTTAAGGGGATGCCCAAATATTAAAATTCCAGCGTAGAGGACTTTACTACAAATTCTTCCTGAAGTTGCCAATTTTATATGTGTTATATATAACACACAATAGAATTGAATGGAAAAATAATACTCTTGTAGCTGATTCTAAAACATTGGGATCAAGGCTTTGTTGTTGCTCTTATATACACACACACACACACACGCGCGCGCGCGCACACCCACAAACACTTGCACAAACCATAGCTCAAACAAAATCAAATTAACACTAGTTAGGCTTAAAGAGACAACATAAATGCCAAGGCGCAAACCAAAATCTAGTTTCAAAGGTTTATTCAGGACATGTAGATTGAAAGTCAAGTCAAGAGTCTCGGAGACAGTAAATTCTGGTGCATAAAATCAGCATGCTGTCTCACATCATTTATAATCTTGTTGGTGAAATATATATTGGGGGCTTATGCAGAGTCACAAATTCTTTGTTCTCTTTATGTTGACTAGCAATGAATAGCAGCGACATGATCTTCATTTGTTTTTTCTTCTAATTGGTTTCCCCCCTTCCATGTATCACTTATCCCTTAACTTATTGTCCATGTTATTGACAAACATAAGTTACTTCATTGCTGTTATGTTGTTGTAGGATTTCTCTTTGCGGTTTCCTCTTATTCGGGGGCATGGAAACTTTGGATCAATTGATGCTGATCCTCCCGCGGCCATGCGCTACACTGAATGTAGATTGGAAGTAGGTTTGCAAATGTTCTTTTGTGAATTCTCTTTTTTATATATAGTCCTAAGACCCATTGAGCCATGAAATTGAGAAAAGAAAGTTCTTCTTTTCTTTTGGTTTGTTGATAGTAACAATGCAATTCTACATGTTTTTTTGTGCTTACATTTTGACTAGTAGAGTACTGATGAAATTAATGTTCAAGCTCTTAATAATTTATTATCAAAAAAGAAATAATGTAGAAGCCATCAGATTTGTTGTTTTTATATATCCATGGTTTCCTTTTCTTGCACTTCTTAGCTCACTGGGAATAGAATATAAATACGGATAAAAAATGATCGCCTCGGGTATCTGTAAGCCTGTAACGTTGGTTAAGTCGCACATTTATTCCGTGTTACTTCTGACATTTTCTCATGCAAGAAATTCACTACTTGAATACAACTCTTGCTTCAAGAAGATTTTGAATCCTTGTGCAGTTGCTGGAATGAATCCATAATGGCCTTAAGAGGTTCAAAACTCTTGTTCGACATATTGCATAGCATGTATCTTTTAATTAATGGCTTTTTTTT